AATTGAACGAGTTGGTGCAGCAGATGCAGGACAAAGAGATCTGTCATGTGTCTTTCATTAATTCTTCCATGAAACACATTTCACTTTAAAACTGATACATTAAGTTGAGTTGAGCTGGGTTTGATGGATCTGATCTGCACTCTCTGGCTAGTTTTATAAGAAAGAGTTTTTCATCTGAGGAGTTGTACGTTCGAGACCAGTTCTCTTTGAAGACATTTTCCAATAACAAATGCTCTGTTTCTGCAGTGTGTAATTTCATTATGGAAGGAACATAAAGGGAAATAAAGTTTGAATAAGTCTTGTTTTTAAACTTCAGGGTTTTGTTTTTATCGCTTTCCCTTCTCTGCATATTTTTCTCTTCATTGAGCTCATTATCATGTGGACCTTTAATTTTTTTCCCTGTTATTGATGTGCTTATTTCATAATGCACAAAGTCACATTTTAAAATGGAAAATGTAAAACTAACGCTGACAGGAACTATTTTTTACTCCTTGATTTCGTGAATGAAGAATCTGCTACACATGCAGATTTAATGTAGAAAGCATTGAGGCATTTTGTATATAAAGAGATATTTTTAATGAACTTCACTTACATTCACATGGCTTGTTATTGCTTGCATCATTTCTGTTTTTTGAGCTGTGAGATTCCTCTAAACCACTTTGGGGTCAGTGTCATTTTCAGTAAAGGGCTATGACGGCATTTAATGAGGTTGTTTTGCTGCACCTGCAGGATTCTTTCTAATGCGTTGCTTCATTTTTCCTCTTCTGTTGAGGAGACATTTTTCATGGAAAACATTAAACACCAGACAACCTTAATTACCACGGCAATGACTTCTCATAATCTAATCTCTAAGTTGTTTGTCTTACTGAAAATGATCTCTGTTAGCTTAAAGGGAAGTTGGATGTGTCACCATGCAGCACTTTCGGTTTTTTATTTCTTTTTAGATTTACAGTCGCTCATTTTTTCCCCCTGAGCCTCCTGTTTTCTCCTGTGTCCATTTGCATGAATTTATCTAGTTTAACGGAATATTTTTGTGTGTTATTGTGTGTCCAGGCCAACACAACCTTTGAAGAGCTCGAGAGGCTCCAGAACATGGCCAAGGCCTGGGAGGAGGTGGGACCTCAGCTCTGGGCGTTTTTCCAAAACAGCGTCCAGATGAACATGATCAGGGTACGAATACCGCACATTCACTGTCAACACTCTTCTCAGCGTTTGGGCTCTAAATCCTTCCTCAAAACGAGGTCCACTTTGAGTGTTTTGGCAGATGAGAGGAATGACATTAGAGGGTGGGGGAAGCGGAAAGTCCATTTAGATGCCGCTTTACACCAGCAGAATTAGACTAAATGTTTGGTCAAACAGTTCTGGGGTTAAAGTTCTCATATCTCTGAGTTGCTGGTGTGGCTCAATTATTTCCTGCTCTCACTCTCTGTGGTGGCAGATCCCAGCAAAGTGATCGTTAGATACATTTTCTACCATGTTTTGGCTAATCACAGCGAACACATTTTTTAGATGCCGGAAAAGTCCCAAAGTGCCTGGTCACTAAAAGGAAAACACAGGAGCAGGACATACCCATTTGGGACCTTTTTTTTGTTTTTTTGTCAATAATAAACACCGATAAGGATAACTGGTTGGTTACAAAAATGCAGAAAATCACGATAGATGGCAAAATGTGCCACTGGGAAAACACAAAACCTCTCAAAATGGGGACTTATTCAAGTAGCTTGTTTTGTTGCTATTTAGGGGAAATAAACGAAAGAGAAAAGGGGGGAAATAACTCACAACCCACAGAAATGTCTTGCATTGTCTTGCTGTGTCTGTGATTGGCACTGTAGTTCTGAGATGGCAAAGTGGACGGAACAAAAAGGTTTTTGCCACTTGAAATTTAGTCGGTATGTAAACAGAACTAAAGAAAACTCAAGGCTGAAATCATTTTCTACTTAACCAAAAAAAGCCCTGAGGCATCGTGTGTCGGGCGCTTTTCTTATCCCTTCCTTTTAAGGCAGTTATTTCAAATGTATAGATGTTACTGTGTCTCCACTTTTTGTACGAATAACTTAATGAATTTCTTGAAAAAGCTTAATTCATGAGCAAAACCTCAAAAGTGAATGAGGACTTTGTGCCGCTCCCTTCAGGACACTCTGAGGAACCCGACGGTGATGAGCTTCATGGACAGCAGTCTGGGGGACACAGACCTGACCACTAAGGATATTCTCAACTTCTTGCACAATGGACCAGAGGAAGAGAGGGAGGCGGGAATGCCGAACTTGGACTGGAGAACCATTTTTAACATCACCGACCAGATCATACGCATGTTTAACCAATATGGGGAGGTAAGGAGCTGAGATGGGGGGGGGGGTTCAGTGACGCGTGTTTTACACCAAATATAAACGACCCCTTTCTGCTTATAAGCTGATAATCCTCACTATCTAGTTTAGAGCTGAGGAACGCCTTTTGGATAAGTGGTCAGACATATTTAGGCGCCAAGAAGAAGCCCAGCTGCCCCTTTTTTCAAGATTGCGGGATTACCCCGACCTGGGTGACAGAGAATTCACACCAACATATTCACTCCAATAATTCCTATCTGCCAAATGTTTCAAATTCCTTACACTGGTTTTTCACACACACACACTCCTGCCTTCTGAGACAGAGCGAACCACTTAGCAGAGCTTTACAGCCTCTCTCCTGTTCATCAGACTGAAGGGCAGAGAGAACAAGTGTGCTGTCACCTCCTTCCCTTGCCTCCATTGTACAGCGGGTGATAAAGTAGAGTAGGTGGGAATGAGTCACCCTCCTCTCGAGCCCGGTGCTGTTTTAATGTCCGACCCTGCATTGGAACAGACCGTTGCACCTCCACATAAAAGAGGGCAAATTATTCAATCCATCCCTCATGCCTTCTCTCTCTCTCCGCTTTCTTTCTGTTTTGAAGAGGGGGGGGGGGGGGCGATGGTTTTGATTTAAGAAAAGGACCATATCATTGCAGGAATCTCAAGCTGTCTTTTGTCTCCACCTTTTAGTGCCGAGACCCCTCAGAGCCCCATAAACAAACCCAGGCAATTTAGCCAATTAGACACAGCTGTCAGTGAGCGTTGGGCTGCAGGTCCTCTCCCTCTGTCAGGGGGCCATGATTCTCACACCAAAGTCCTGCCGGAACATGTGTATGCGGAGGGTTCTTTCTCCCCCCGCACGTCTTCGAGTGAGCATTATTGTGTCGTGAATGTATGTTCGCATGAAGATGAAAAGGAAGTGGTCTCTCATCTCTCTTTGAGTGCTCTCAGGGTTTTTTTTCAGTAAAGCGAAAGGAGGCGTTAGACACAGTGCATATGGGGTTGGGAAGGGTTGTGTGCGTGCGCATAAAGAATGAGATCCTCACGTGTGTTATTGCACCCGTTCTGTAATGTGTTTGTGAGAAAGTGTGAGTTACTTTCACATGTGTTCAGATGCATGTGTATTTTTTAATATGAATACAGTGGCTCTGATTTCCTCACAATTCTACCAGGGGTATTTTTTATTTTGTATACAAAACATGGCTGAAATTTGAGTGCCAAGTCCTAATTATCATTTTGTTATCAACCCAGCACCCAGTGGTTAGAGCACAACGACACATTTTGCGGCAAAGCATTTCTTTCTTGTGTCGACTGCAACAAAGAGATGTGCAGCCATGATGGAGCTGCAGTTTAAATGTATTCATCGATGAATGACTCAGTTCAGAACAGAGATTATCTTAGTTCTGTGTGAATGAGTAAAATAATTTGATGAAACAGTATTTGTGTGAAGCTAGCATGTTCACTGGCTCTGTATTTCATGCTATAGCCGATGTTTTCTGAGTTTACAGACTTTTTGGACTCAGAGCATGTTTTTATACTTGCTTTTAAATGAATTTAATAGGAGACAATACAGAAGTTGTGATCTAGTTTTAGGGATCGTGCGTTGATTTATTTGGACTCGCAACCATTTTGCACATAGTTTGCTTCAGTTTTTATTGCAAATCGTGGTCTGCAGCTGTCATATTTCCAGACCAATTGCAGAGAAAAATATCTATGGTGGTCATATCAGACAGTAAAAAACCTTTATGTGAGAGAAGCCATGTTATTATTTAAGACAAAACAGGCCTTTGTTTTATGGTGCACAAATCAGCAGTTGAACACATTCTTGAGTAGGAAGCTTAGTTAAGAACCTTGATAGATGGCCAGATATTTCTTTGTCAAATTAAACTTTATGATGTCAATATATACAGAGGATTTACCTCAATAAAGAAAGATGGGATTAGACTATGAGGGACAACTTCAAAAACATAGTATTTTCAACAGCGGAGGATGATTCTTTGGTAGAATAAACTGGGATTATCTTGTACCAGAATGTTGGGGGGAGAAAAACATGGGCGACTGATGGACAGCATCATCTGTCAGATGTGGTCCAGCTATGACTGCCACGAAACTGGGTCACTTGTGTCTATTGATCAGGTTTGAAATGAATGTCCAGGGCTGCAAAACGGAAAGGGCATACAAGCAGATTATCAATGTGTCACAGCCATTGCCTTTAAGGGATTAGCAAGTAAATTAAAAAACTGTATTACAATCACTAATATTATATGTTAGTTTATCAATTGTCTTTGGTTAAGGCATTATTTTTTTTAAGCATCTACACGTACAGTGTATTTGAATGCTTGTTTTTCCTATTTTTACCACCTGAACACCACATCATCCAAATCTGTGGCGTCTTCTAAACCAAACCACAAATCTCTCTTTCTCTACACCTCTGTTTGTAGTGCATTACTCTGGATAAGTTTGTAGCCTATACAGATGAGTCCCAGATGATCTATCATGCATTGCACCTGCTAGAGGAAAACAAGTTTTGGGCAGGAGTGGTTTTCGTGGACATGCACCCCTGGACCGTGAGCGTTCCGCCTCACGTCAAGTACAAGATCCGCATGGACATCGATGCGGTGGAGCGGACCAACAAGATCAAAGACAGGTCAGTGCGGCATGTATAAGGTGTCTATACCTGTGTAGTGTAAAGTTTGAGCTCAATTACAACATTTCACTCTCCAAAACTAGATTCCACAATATCAGACTAACATTTTTCATACCAGGTCAATATTCTGTGATATTCCTAACAAAACAGAAAAATCATTTTACACAATTTATGCAAAAAAGCATGGTATAAAAGGTTTATATGGTGTTGATTCCCCATAAAATGTATTTAGGCATATTAGCTTACATGGACATTGGCATTAAGTTGGATTTAGCCACAAACATCCAAAGCACTAAATGGTCTTGATAGCTTCACTTTGCATTAAAGAGGCATTTCATATGGAATTGCTACGTTCCTCAGAAGTGGAAAATCCTCTCCTGCTGGCTTTACTGTGTCTTCCAAAGTTTATTGGCTGTTCCACATTCCCTTATTACCTGCCCTTTAGTCCTCCACTCACATGCATTTTCCTTTCTCTTTGATCTCCTATTCATAAGCAAACACTTTGCCAATAGCCCCTGGTGTGCAGGAGCACTTTTGGCTGTTTACCACACACCAACAGGCTGTAATGGACCCAGTGGGAGCCCTGCCCGACACAATTGAATAATCAGATTGTAACAGAGCTCTGACTTATCCGCTTAAGAGAAGGCAATGCAGGCGTGTGTGGATATGTTTCTATGTGTGTAGCTCAACAGATTTTGGCCTCAGGATGTTGTTCAGTGACAAAAAAAATCTGTACTGTAATTTCCACCTTTAACGGATACAGTGGCACCTTATACATATATATATATATAAATATAAGGTGTATATATTATATACTGACCTATTATAACTACATAACTATTGGTAGATTACTTTTTTATTTTTTTTAAAACAACATAATCTCTTAAATTCCCATCCTGTGTTTTTTTTTATCATCAGGTACTGGGATCCTGGTCCCAGGGCAGACCCCTTGGAGGACCAGAGGTACATCTGGGGTGGATTTGCTTACCTACAAGATATGATTGAACATGGGATAATCAAGCTCCACACGGGGAACGACTGGCCATTGGGAGTTTACGTCCAGCAGATGCCATATCCCTGTTACGTTGACGACCTGTGAGTTGATGTGTGATTTATCCCCAGTTGCTGCAATAGTACAGTATATCCATTTAACGGATACAGTGACTTAGAATGTAGAATCTAGAAGAAATAATCTTAAAAAATTAAATGTGACGAACGTCTAAAGATAGCTTTTAGAATCCCTTATCACCTGCCATTGGTTCCTACAATGCCTCTTCCTTTTGTTGAGGTTTGAAACCGTTTGTTTACGTACAGCTTCCTTGAAGTCCCACCATCTTAGAAATCAGATTTTCTTTAACACACCAATCATTTTTCCCCCAGTCATTTTGTTCTAGATTGACCCTGTATTTAGGTTTATTTAGTACGACATGGTTTTAGCGATGGACATGATCATTAAACCTTACAGGTGTCTAGCTAAGCTCAAAATCAAGGTCCCTTTTGCAAAGGGTGTGATCTGTCCCACAGTAGCCGCGTAAAAGGAGCTGGAAGTAGGTGGGTCAAGGCTGGGGAGCATAGCTGAAGGTCATTCTCTATTGTGAGGCATTTATAACTTCCTTTGTCTTAATAAGACATTTTCCACAAGGATGTGCTCTAAAGATCTATGAGTGTTAGACCTTCAGTGTTGTCCTCTCAGAATCACTTAGTGAAGACTAAATGGGAGCGTCTTTGTAGAAGCTGTAAGTAGGATGACGAAAGCTGGTGGGTTACATTCCAGACATTCTGGTTTTGCATTTTTTCACGGTTATCTCTGAAATGTATCCTTTGACTGCAACATGACACAGGTACATAAAAAAAATACTGCATGTCTTTGCGGTGAAAGGGTAATTTAATCACACAAATCTCACTCTCTTTGTCAACCCCCTCACATCCTGCACAGCTTTATGATCACGCTGAACCGCTGTTTCCCGATGTTCATGGTGCTGGCCTGGATCTACTCCGTGTCCATGACCGTTAAGAGCATCGTGCTGGAAAAGGAGCTCCGCCTCAAAGAAACCCTCAAAGCAATGGGGGTGGACAACGGAGTCATCTGGTACACGTGGTTCATTGACAGCTTCATAATGATGACTGCCAGCACAGCCCTGCTGACCACCATCGTCATGGTGAGCGAACCGAAAGGGTCTCTGCAGTTTGGTGGACAGGGGTCATGTGTTGTGGGGGGTAATGGGGCCCCCTAGTGGGCAAAGTAGAGCAGGTCGCCTGGAGCTGCACATTCGGAGTCTTAATTTGAACGCTTCTCTGTTTCCTTTCAGGGCGGGAAGGTGCTGAATTACAGCGACCCGGTCCTCGTCTTTTTCTTCCTGCTCACTTTCACCGTGGCCACCATCATGCAGTGTTTCCTGATGAGTGTGTTCTTCAACAAGGCCAACTTGGCAGCGGCCTGCAGCGGAATCATCTACTTCACCCTCTATCTGCCCCACATCCTATGTTTTGCCTGGCAGGACCGCATCACCAAGAACATGAAAATGGCTGCGGTATGTTCACAGAGTCTATGAATTAAACCGGAGGGAATGTCATCTTGGGGGTAAACGAGTTCATCTGTGCGTCTTATCTGCTGCCACAGAGCCTGCTGTCTCCAGTGGCCTTTGGCTTCGGGACGGAGTACCTGTCGCGGTACGAGGAGCAGGGTTTGGGGCTGCAGTGGAACAACATCCAGACCAGCCCCCTGGAGAAGGATTCTTACTCCTTCCTCACCGCCATCTTCATGATGGTGTTCGATGCTGTCCTCTACGCTTTCCTGGCTTGGTATCTGGATAATGTGTTCCCAGGTAAGGCTGCCACTCAATACTGTGTTAACAGCGTGTTTTGTGCTTATTGCGCTGAACATTAAAGTGAACACTTTACTCTACAGGACAGTATGGCGTTGGTCGCCCTTTCTACTTCCCATTCCAGTCCTCGTACTGGCAAAGAAGCACACCTTCACACACGGAAATGGATCGGCAAGGTGAGTGTGCTGAGGAGCAGCTGCATAATGTCATTCTGAAGGAGTCATTTTCCAAGATTCCCAGAGTTCCCCAAAGTTAGATACCAACATGAGATATTTGCCACTTTTGCACTCCTGAAGACAAAACTGAATCGGTACTTGGTTAAAAAGCATAGATAAATTAGATCTGTCAAAGAATCCTTCAGTTTTAACTTGCACAATGAACCAAAACAAAAGCGAAATGTAATGCAAAATCTATACACGCACACACACACCTGCAAGCAGGATGCATGTTATGTCTCCACTTAATTCCACAGAAGTTAAATAGATGTCATAGTGTTAATTTTAACACTTAACTACAGTGAGTCATAAGACAGATAAGCCCTCAGGTCAATTTTGATCAACAGCACCGTGGCCCTACATGGCCTACATGGCCTTGGCTTTTTTCCCAGGAGTACAAGACTATTTCAGCCACTGGTTTGTTGCTCCTCCCCTGATGTCTAAACTTAAGAGTCGATTAGTGAAATGAAACCGTGAACCGTGTTGCTTTGCACCGCGGATGCTCTCAGTGGCCTCTGAACTGCAGTTTGATTGCAATTAACTCAGTTGGTTAACACAGTATCGTGTTATTATTTCGGTTTGATTTGATGTCTCTTTCTTTAATCAATCTGAGTTGAATGTTGTGCTAACAAACAGCGGGAAATATTCCTCTGGCCCATATTTAAGTTAAAATATCCGATTTATTGTTGCTAATAAATGAGCTGTTGGCTCACATAAGCTCCTGGTTCCTTTGTTAAATGGTGGGAAGCTGCTTCAAACTTTTATAAAAAAAAATATTTTTCTTTTTCATGATCTCTTCTTCCCAACCAGATCTTCAGAAACCTGAACCAGAGAACCAAGAGGATGTTGAGAGCGTAGACACACCAGAGACTCCCACTTGTAATGGCTCGGCGAGCAAGAAGACCTGTAAACACCAGAGGAGGAGAGAACAACTGGAGAGAGAACGAGAGCAGCTCAGGAGGCAGGAGGAGAGCCCAAACCTGGAGGAGGAGCATGAGGACTGTGAGAAAGAGGGTGAGGACACAAACATACTGTAGATGTCCGACTCTGAGGACATCTGGTGGACACAGAGGGAAGCTCAACACGGCGGTTGTCTTGACAAAGGGGGGGTGCAGCGTCCCAAATGATTTGGACTCAGTGGGCTTAGTGAAAGCCGTTTGTTTTTGGGGATAGTCAACATTAATTATATGGAATCTGGCTATTTCAGATCTGATTGTATGCTTCTATGCCATATGAAATAATAGATAAAGAAATAAAGAAATAACAGGGACTGCACGGGGCTGTCATTGTTGGAGATTTTGACATTTTTCCCACAAATGCCTGCAGGTCCTGACTCATTGAAGCTCAATAGGTCGAATAGGTTGCAGGTTCTACCAAAGTTAGTACTCCTGAAGAGTGATGACAGGATTTATCATAGTCCGGCTCCAGCCTTTCCATTGGGTCTATCGGTTATGCCGTGCCTCGGTTGTGTTACTTACAGGCACGGAGAAAGGCTTTTACTGATGATGTGACATCTTTTGCGCATATTTCTTCTCCGTTCAAATCCAGGCCAGCTGTTCTTTGAGCCCGACCCTGTGGATCTGGTCCTGGGGGTGCAGATTGAAGACCTGGTGAAGGTGTTTGATGGAAGCTCTCGCCCAGCTGTCAACCACCTCAACATCAATTTCTATGAGGGACAGATCACATCTTTCTTGGGGCACAACGGGGCAGGAAAAACCACAACAATGTGAGTTTCTGTGAGAGCTGAAGGGTCATGAATTAGTGATGTACGCGCACTGACGCTCTGTGAAATCTTAGATAAAAAAAACATCTGGATGAAAAAATGTCTTGCAGTTTGTAGAAACTGATGCAACATTTTTCTAACTGCATGGCTTATCCGGCAGCCACTGCATATTTCAAACTCTTTTGAACTCCTGGCAAAGAATTTTCCACTTAAACAGGATATAAATTCGCATAAATTCTTCAGGATGAAACTTTTTGGTAATATCAGACTCCAGCTGGAATGTTTGACTACAATGTGCCACTAATGCTGCCTACATTTTGTCTTTTCAGGTCCATCCTAACAGGCCTCTATCCTCCGACGTCCGGCACAGCGTACATCAACGGGAGAGACATTCGAACGGACATGGACATCATCCGCACTTCTATGGGGATGTGCCCTCAGTTCAACATCCTCTTCAACCAGTGAGCTGCTTAAATGTTACTGCAAAAAATAGCATCCACAGATTGCTTTGAGAAAACAGCACAACGAATGAATGAATGAAGCAGGGGGATGAACTTTAAAAAATAAAAGATAATTTGTACCTGCTGATTATGTTTTGCTTGTTTATATTTCAATCAACAGCGCAGAAGCACAAAGAAAAAAACGCCTTGATAACATGTTTTCAGTGTTCTGACATTGATGTCTTTTTTCCCTTTTTTTCCTTTTGTGCCTCAGCCTCACGGTGGAGGAGCACATCCTGTTCTACTCACTGCTCAAGGGTCGCACTCAAGGGGAAGCAGAAAAGGAGGTGGAGGACATGTTAGTAGACCTCGGACTGCCTAACAAAAGGGACGACGAGGCTCAGAACCTTTCAGGTTGGCAACTTGTTCCCGTCTGCGTGTTAGAGAGGGAGCGGCGGATAATTCCTTCACCCCATTTCAGCACATGTCGCATGCACTTTACAGGTGGCATGCAGAGGAAGCTGTCAGTCGCCATGGCATTTGTTGGTGGGTCGAAGGTTGTCATTTTGGATGAACCAACCTCTGGAGTGGACCCTTATTCCAGGAGATCCATTTGGGAGCTTCTTCTTAAACACAGAGCTGGTAAAGAAAGATATTGGAAGGAGCAATGTCGCATTCAACCTGTTTGTGCCCCCACTGTATTATGTATATATAAAGATTTAATGTTTAAGTTCTGCCTAAACTCCAGAAAGAATTTCTCAATCCATAACAGACAGTTGTTGATGATATGCAATCTTTTTGCCCCCGAGACATGAGAATTAAGCAGTGCAGTGATCAAATGGAAAAATGCGACCGCATCACTACAACAAAATAAATAGTCATAAAATCAATATCATTTGTAGGAGGCTGTGACAATGTTTGCGACTTTGCTCACAGACATCAGTGTTGTTTTTCTCAAACAGAAGGCTTTGATTAAAGTGTGCTGTGTGTGCAGGCCGCACCGTGGTCCTCTCCACTCATCACATGGACGAAGCCGACCTGCTGAGCGACCGCATCGCCATCATCTCCAAGGGACAGCTCTACTGCTCAGGGTCCCCCCTTTTCCTGAAAAACTGTTTCGGGGTCGGTTTCTATCTGACATTGGTGCGTCGCATGAAGGATTTAAAGAAGCGGGAGGTGAGCTCCGACTTTGTATTGTCGCACAATTTGTGCGAGATGGTGCCCGATTTTTTTTTTTTCAATTTTTATTCAAGAAACTCTTCTGCCTTTTTTAGCTGGTTCTTGTTTTTTTTTTTATATTTCTCCCAGAACGAATGTGACTGCGCCTCAGACTGCTCCTGTTCCTGCTCCATCTGCACCAGATACAAAGATCAGTCTCAGACTCAGTGCCCACAGTTAGACAGAGTTCTAGATGGTGAGTGTTTATATTTTCTTCTGCTTTAAAACATGAAACTTCTGCAGAGTTCTCCCATTTTTCCTGTCTTACTGCAGGCTTGCAGTGAGACCTAACTTTTATCAAAGTTTTATTAAAAGGATTAGACATTAGGCTTTCTGATTAAGATTGATTTCAGTTGCAGGGTCAACAAAGTGCCTGTAAGTTTTGTGGGTTAAAAAATATTTTATGGCTCGCACTGCCATTATATAAAGGAAATAACAAATGGTTATCTATCACTCAAACACTAAATGAAGATGATTTAAACTTGTTTTATGCATAGAAGTGTGTTATTGACTGTTAATATTGTCGGATTAAATACTAACTCACTCAAACCTTGTTTATATGACAATGTTTGTGCATAAAGAATATAATTCAAAAGTTTTTACGAATAATTAACACAAGGATTTTGAGGCTCAGATTGATAAAGTTTGAAAATGAGTCGATTAAAGATTAAAACATTGGTCGTTTCTTTGAGCTCTGGGAATATTTCCAGATTAATTTGAATCCTTTTCATGTAGATATATATTTTAAACCACTTCTCCTGTCCATCAGGGAGTGTAATGCAGAGGTTTTTCAGATCTATAAATGATACCCATCAACATCAATATAGTGCGAAAGATCAAGCAAACAGGACAAGTCTACATCTGACCCATTTAGCTACATTTGCTCTAAGAGTGACAAAGTCATTTCCAGCAGAGTGCAGCTGCACTGGCTGTGTTAATCTAAAGGGATGTTTTACTACTTTGATTAAAGTTCACTGATTTAAGTGCACCCTACAAGAAAGTGTGCCATTAATTACAAAGCTGCTCTGAATGACCAGAAGCGTGGCTGTCCTCCATCGTTAGGGCAATAAGGGTTTGAGATGATCAACATTACAGACTCTGAGGGACCTATAATCATTGTCAAAGCAGTCTGTTTGTGTTTGTTTTTCCTTTGATTTGTCACCAGTCTGAACATGTGTGTCAGCACCACAGTGTCAGGTTGTAATTGTTGGAGTTATGCCGGTGGCTCATTTTTCCAAATGGTAAAACAGGACTAAAAAAGAACGTGTTATTTTTCTTCCATTCATAATTTAGTGGTGATATTGACCCACAAGGCTTTTTCTGTTCCCTGTTCTGCCCGAGGACACGTTGCTTAAGATGCAACATCGGAGAGCTGTTCCAGCACAAAATCCTTCATGCATTTGAATCGCCAATTAATGATGTTTGTCTTATCTTTCTTTTAGAATTTCAACCAATTTCTCCTTTTTTCGTGCCGGCTACATTTACATTTACCGTCATCTGGAGCATTTTGCCCCTCCGTATGTGACATCCTGTCTCTCTTCCCAGGGGATGTGGAGAACATCACAGGCCTCATCCACCACCATGTCCCTGATGCTAAGCTGATTGAGACCATTGGACAGGAGCTGACCTATCTGCTCCCCAACAAAGGGTTCAAGCATCGAGCCTACGCCAGTCTGTTTCGGGAGCTGGAGGAAACACTTCATGATCTGGGCCTGAGCAGCTTTGGCATCTCTGATACGTCACTAGAGGAGGTAGGGACACGTACACCTTAAAATGTGATGAAACATCAATAAATCACTGGGTGTAGATGCAGCTGCAAAATTCTGACAATATCGAAACCAAACAACACGTAAATAACCAGCTGTATACTCATATATGACTCACAAGAGGATTTTTAGACACTGGAGTCTGCTGTTCTACTGTTTGAACAGAGAGACACAACAAAATGTTTTGGATTCGACTTTGTTTTTTTGGAAATGAGGTCGTCTTTTATCCCAACCAGGCACTCACAGTTTCTCTTTTCTTTCCAGATATTCATCAAGGTCACCGCAGACGGAGAGGCAGCGTATAACGCCAACACAGCTGGTAAATGTCACCTCTGTGACTATTGACCATTCTCCTGAAAGTAAACATCCTGACCCCTCTGCTCGTCTATGTAAACCCCACCTCTGTCCGAATCTTTTTTATTCGGTTGATTAGACCTGTGACTTGAACTGTAGTTAGAGCTGTAGACTGTGCCTGTGATGTGGTATTAACTCTCCTGTTTGTGTGCGTTTTCTCCCACCTCTAGAGCAGTGGATGTTACAGGGAAGAAAAAATGCCTGCGAAGTCGGTGTAGAAGGAGATGAAGGTCAATTGACAAACTCCATCTCATGTCACATTAGAAGAAACGTAGATCTGTTCTCTGTTAGGGTTTATATTTCCACATTAATAGAAGGGTATGTCACTATGGGACTTGACCACATTTTTTCACAAGATGTGCTTAAAACCAAATTTAATGGTATTCCGAATGGATTGCGTTCATTTTAGCTGGTTAAAACAAAGCAAGTAGTGCACAGCATTTATCAATGCGGTGCTCAGCCAAGACAAATGAGGTGAATCGGCATGGCTCGCTCAGCAGGATCTGGGCCGTTTCGTTACTCCAAAACCACTTAGTCGTTTTAGCCAGGAAAATAGTTTCTCTTCCAAGCATAGCGCTCAGTGTGCGTTTTCCTTGTTGACCGCAGACCAGAATGGCATGAACGGCACCCATGCGTCAGACAGCAGCGCGGGGAAGGGCTCGCGGCAGGTGAAAGGCACCTCCCTCATCCTCAAGCAGTTCCATGCCCTGCTGGTGAAGAGATTCCACCACGCCACAAGAAGCCAGAAGGACTTCCTGGCTCAGGTACTGAACAGTGGGGACAGCTGGACTTTGGGGTGAAAGTTGACTTGATTTTGCCCTGGGTCTCACACAAAATAAATTCAAAGCATCTCCCCTGTTAAGGCCATTTTTGAACCAATCTACATATATTAGATCATATTTTTTAGTAGTTTATGAAAACATTTAACTTGTTTTCCCTCTACATGACTTTCAGATTATCCTTCCTGCCAGTTTTGTATTGATATCTCTGATCTTCACCATGATCGTCCCTCCATTTGGAGAGCATCCCAGTCTGACTCTCACCCCCTGGATGTATGGACAACAGTTCACCTTCATCAGGTCAGACCTGAATACTCTGAATCAATTTCCTGGCAGATTTAGATTCACAACATCCATAGAAGCCCTTTGAATGAAGTTTAGATATATAACAGATCTTTGAATGAAGGCTACAGAGAAATTCTCAGACATTCAATGGATTGACTTTGATGATTTTGCTTTTCGCCGCACAATATTCTCACTTTTGTTTTTCTCCACATTTAGCAACGAGCGGCCGTTTGACTCAAAAATGAAACACTTCACCGACCAGTTTTTAAAGCCACCAGGTGTGGGCACACGATGCATGCTGGGAGAACCGCTTGAGTGAGTATAAAAAGACCACACTGAATGAAAGCTGTCGAATATCTTCTGAATCCTAAAACATTCCAGACTCACATCCCATTCCTTATCCAGCCTTCCATATGTACGCATATAATTTTTTTTCCCCTCCACCTTAGGATGCCCTGCAATTACAGTACAGCTGAGTGGGAGCAACCCTACATCTCCCCCGTGGTGGCGAACATCCTGCAGAGTCCAGAGTGGGACCACCTGAACCCATCACCTTCCTGCCAGTGCAGCACCAATAAGAAACTCACTATGATGCCCATCTGTCCGGACGGGGCAGGAGGCCTCCCCCCCCGCCAGCGTCTGGAGGCCACAGGAGACACCATGCTGGATCTGACAGACAGGAACATTTCCGACTTCTTGGTCAAAACCTATCCCAGTCTCATCAGAACCAGGTAGGTCTGTCCGAAGTGGACCGGGACAGGAAAAACTATCCGTAAACTTATATTCAAATGATTTCTGAATACTGTTTTTCAGTTTGAAGAGCAAATACTGGGTGAATGAACAAAGGTAATTTGAATTCTGCCAGCCCATGTTTGTTACTGTCTGTCCTAGTTTCCCTTTTGGGCTTGTGGCTCAGGATATTGACTAAAAACCTTCTCTGTCATCAGATATGGAGGCCTCTCCGTAGGAGGACAACTTCCCATCCTGGACGTGAATCCAAAAGATATCCAGGATTTTTTTCAGCAACTTGGACGAATACTCAACATAACTGGAGTAATTCTCGTTTGGTCGTTTATTGAAGACAGAGGTTTAGTTTTCAGATTCCACCCTGTTAGTTTCTAATGTGTATTTTTCTTCACAGGGCCACTACAGCACAATGGCTCTCAGGGACATCGGTACATTTCTGAGATACATGGAGAGTGAATTTAATGTAAAGGTGAGACATCTGGTCAATTTATCAGATATAGTTTCTATTCATCCAAAGGGAGTTCTGTTTCTCCCTTTGATTATATATGATCAGTAATTGTGGCTCTTCAAAAAAGTGTTTAATGATGTTCTCTGTCTTGTCAGGTATGGTACAATAACAAAGGCTGGCACGCAATGGTCGCCTTCATGAGTGTGGCCAATAACGCTATTCTGAGAGCCTTCCTCCCTCCATCTGCCAACCCGGTGGAGTTTGGTATCACTGCCATCAACCATCCATTAAACCTCACCAAAGAGCAGCTTTCAGAGGTCACTGTGTAAGCAATGCCTTTAAATCCACCCTCCTTTTTTCTATTTTGAATATTTTTTTATTCTTTAAAATGTATTGATACAACAGGAGACAGTTTACACACACAAGAGTCCTTGACAATTTTAGTTTTGTGTGCAGAACAAAAAGGGTATTGTGTTGCCCCTTTAAGAAAAAGAAAAACATTTAAATGAAAGCTTGTAAGTGGATTTTACTTGGTTTGGTCCTTGGAGAATTGTGTGTTTGTTTTTGCCATGAAACCTGCATGTGTTACACATATATTACACAGTTAAAGACACTATTGATTTTTCTCATTAACTGATCATTTTAAGGGACACCTGGAGCCTAAATGAATTTACCTCCTAATGTTTGCATTGAACTCAGCCTAATTGCTAAGAGGTGTTCATGTTGGCGTGACTTTGCATCATGACGCCGGTCTGTTTTGTTTTTGCGATTTCAAAATACAGAGCACTAACCTTGTCTGCTTTTCCCCTCAGGCTGACCACTTCTGTGGACGCTGTGGTGGCAATCTGTGTCATTTTCGCCATGTCCTTCATCCCTGCCAGCTTTGTCCTGTACCTCATTCAGGAGCGAGTGACCAAAGCCAAACACCTGCAGTTTGTCAGTGGGGTCAGTCCTCTAGTTTACTGGGTGGCCAACTTCTTCTGGGACATGGTGAGTGAGGCACGGCTATTGTCGGCTGAAAACACACTAAGGCGGGAATACTGCGATGATTTGCTTTGTTATATCTCCTTGTCTTATTAAAGTCCCTTCTCAATGAGCCCTCTGGGTATTTTTTCTCTCAGATTAACTACTCCCTCAGCACTGCCATGGTGGTCGGCATTTTCATGGCGTTTGACAAAAAGTGCTACACATCGCAGGCCAACCTGCCAGCACTGATAGCACTGCTTCTCCTGTATGGGTAAGCCGCTGCCTTTTAAGTCCCAGTGGAGCTGATTTAGATTTTGAGAAGTAAAATGGAACGATAGTGAGAAGAAAAACGTTGATACAGATGATATGGTATGCAAAATGGACCATCATGCATGGTCTCAACAAGTAAAGCGAACATCAAAGTCCCTGTGATTGTGAAAAAAGTACATTTCTTTTTCCTTTATCAAAGGTGGTCAGTGACGCCGATGATGTACCCCATGTCTTACTTATTCAACATCCCAAGCACTGCGTACGTGTCCCTGTCCTGCATCAACCTGTTTATCGGCATCAACAGCAGCGCCATCACCTTCATTCTGGAGCTTTTCGAAAACAATCGAGTAAGACTTTATCTTCTGACTTTAACTGAATATTTAAGGCTGTCTGTGTCAATCCGTGTCAGGTTCTATTGATCCTAAATGTCTCAGTATTTTACAGTGAATGCTGATTAAAATGCACCTCATTTGTAATATTGAGAACCGATAGTGCAAGTGAGCATTACTGTTTAAGTTTGCTAAAGTATTTTTCCATGCCGGCACTATTTTCAAATCGTCTATTTTTCAGATGAAGCACAGAGAAACAGGGCCAACATGGAGTGCAACAACAAATCTTAATCTTATTTCTAACATCTTAAAATGGCATTCGGAAAAGCATTACAGTTTATAGTCAAATCTGAATGATGTTTTAAAATGTCCATTCTGAATTAGTTTTTCACCCTAAATGTGAAAAGATTCAGCTTAAAATAATTAGAAATCAGTATTTTCTGACAGTACATACCAATATTGTTTGCTCCTGATTGGTCGCAAGCACAAAAATCCTCAAAACCCAATGAGAGACTTCTGTTTACTATTTGGCTTTCCTCAGGCCATCAAAAAGAGACAAAAATGAATTTGCGTCATTGTGGTCCTCGGTGTCCTTTGCTGTGATGAAAATAAAGTTGATGCTCAAACTTTATAGAAGTGTGTGGGTTTCCTAAAATAGGCTAAACTGCGTGGGACGTCAGGTCAGTCAGAGCACAACAGCTCCGACTATGAAAAGAAAGAACATAAATGTTTCTTCACATCAATGTTATTACAGTTGTTATTGGAAAAAAAAGGGCCCATCAAAGTATCACATTCACTGCGCCTTAGCTGCACATGAAAATTAAAAGTTTCTTAAAGCAGTGTAACTCTGTGAGCATAAAGGTGTTTGGATGATTTTGAGGAATTATTAGAAACATGGAGAGTAGTTGGTGGTGTGGCATTAACAGGTGGTGATGAGGAAGAAGTGGTTCCAAACATGTGACACAAAAAATAGCTGCTGAAAGGTATCCATCAAGTGTTCACAGAAAAAGAGAGGAATGAAGCAGGACTTGGGTACAGATGCCGTCCTCATAATGACCCACTCTGCCAAAGAATCGAGATGATTCTCAAACTAAAACCAGATGGTTCCCTTCACTGCACATCTGCTCTCCGCTTATCTCACAACAGATGAGTCACGAGTCACGCCGTAGGTGGAATGAGCCGTACTTCCGCCGTGTTTATGTTTCCAAGGGTGTAAATAGCTTTGTTTGAGTGCTAATAACGAGCGAGCGCCCTTCCACCCTGTTGATTACATGAACATTTGAAAAGTTTCAATGTTTATTTATTTCCCCTCAGCAAAATGTGTCATCAAGAATACAAATCAGGCCCTTTAGAGTTAGTTATTATAACACATTACTTCTACACGGGCATATTTATGCATTGTTTTCTAACACAGCATTCATTTTTGGAATAAATCTAACATTTTCGAAAGTTTTTTCATCAAGGACAAGTGAGCTCCATGTGCTGTTGTGTTTGCAGTCTTTGCTAATGTTCAACGAGTGGCTGAAGAAATGCCTGCTGGTGTTCCCTCACTTCTGCCTGGGGCGAGGACTGATAGACATGGCCATGAATCAGGCTGTGACTGATGTCTACGCCCGGTTCGGTGAGTGCATATCCCACTATTAGATTTCTGTGTAACACACGTTTTCCCATGAAAATGACTGAACCAATCAGACACCACTGTGATAAGCCAGATCATCTCAGACAGTTTTTTTGTTTTGGAAAATCTCTTTTTTCCAGGTGAGGAGTACACTATGGACCCTTTCCGATGGGACTTTGTGGGAAAGAACATTGCTTTTATGACTGTGGAAGGCTTTGTGTACTTTATACTCAATCTTCTGATCCAGTACCGCTTCTTCTTGGACCACTGGTAAGAACACACTCCTTTAAGGTATGTCCCCGTTGCCCTGTAAGTTTTCTAATATGAATATTTCTTTTATCGCTTAGGTTATCAGATAAGAAGCAGACTCCAATACAAGACGATGATGATGATGTAGCAGAAGAGAGGCAGAGGATTTATGATGGAGGGAACAAGACAGACATCCTACAGATCAGGGATCTCTCCAAGGTAAAAAAAAAAGAAGAAGAAAAGAAACAAAGAGCCCACCTAACTGTCACATCCACGACGCTCTCTCATGGCAAAAGCTTCCACCATCAGGGTGATGCGCACTACAATACGGTTCAGGAAAAAACCTGTCAAAGAGTCCTGCCCCCAAACTCCCCAGATCCCAGTGGGATCCGGCACCTGTAGGACGCGGCAGAAACACAAACACAGATCATCCCACAGAAAAACAAGCACATCCCACGGATGCCAGAACTCGCAGCCCACAGGACCCAAGTGATCGGCTGTAACTGGCAAAACAACAGACTCCTCAGAGGCAAACATATGTGCACGCTGTTGGGAGGACTCGCTCGTACTGTTGTGGCAGATCTGCGTGTGCTTCTGGCTCCCCTCCAGACGATTCCGTCATTTAATTAGAACATTTGTACATTTCAATTTCAGCTTTTTTTTCATTAATCCTTTCGGGTGAAACATTTTTAACAAGGTTTTTAACAAGTATTTATACACAAAAGACATAAAAAGGATGATTGTGAAAAAACATTGACAGTAGAAAAGACATTATTACAATCCTCAAAGTAAGAGAATGTGTTAAAATTACATTGGCAGCTGTGGTGTCTGATTTAAAAAAAAGGCAGCTGTCTGCACAGGGAGCCTCTTTTCAACACAGAATAAAATGAGCCTTTCTGATGTTCATTCTGCTCCAAAAACTGCCCTTCTGAAGCTTTCCCCCCCTTATTCGTAATCATAGTTATAAATCCAAGAAGGTGGATTTAAAGCAAATATCAATAAGTCTTACAGACTTTTTTCAGAGAGGAGAAAATAATTAGCATTTTTAACTTCCTTTTGCTCCTAAATAATAAATAACAAATATAAGCAAATATAAGATACATTGGTGACAAATCTGACAATTTTTGTGTTCATTGGATTATTTTTAAACAGATGGAATAATGATAATACAGCTATATTACAGAGGTATAAGTCCAGAGAAGTGAGTTGTGACTGTTTCCCTGTCTTCTCTGCACAGACGTATGTGGGCAGAAAGAGGGCAGCTGTGGACCGGATTTGTGTGGGAGTCCCTGCAGGAGAGGTGAAGTCTCTGAGTTCATTTATACCGAGATCTGCTTCTCTCTGACAATTCAGCACAAGTTCTGTCTGTTTGTTTTTGTTCCGGCAGGCTTATAGACTGATTTAGCTTCTGGCTAGAGTAACATAGATACTGTGAACCCGCCAGAACTCAACTCTGGTCTCCTTTCAAACAGCAGACTTGTGTTGGGGTTGTTGAATTTCTGTTATTATATCCACATTAGCTACAGCGCATGGTTAGTTTGTATATGTTTCACTATGTTATCAGTTGTTCCTTTTTTAAGGTGATAAAGTGGAAGTGTATCTTTTTCAGAGTCTTGTGTCCCTGTACTGATGGCATGGTTATTATTTTTCTCTTCAGTGCTTTGGTCTTCTGGGAGTTAATGGGGCTGGAAAGACAACAACCTTCAAAATGCTGACGGGCGACACCGATGTTAGCTCTGGAGAGGCTATTGTGGCTGGTTACAGGTACATAGAGATCAGTATCCCCCCCCCAAACAAAAAAAAAAAAACAGTACCTGGGTGAAAACAAACTCATTTGCATGGACTGATATATTTATATAAAGAAGAATAAAAAGAAAAATTGCGGCTCCTGGCTTGTCTTGCTATCTTTCCAGTTAAGTGAGTCAAGCTGTTTAAACACATGGAGGTCAGTTGAACACTGAGCCTGAAAACGAAAAAAAAAATCCAACCAAACAGAAGCTGTGAGACTATTATTTTTCAAACTTCCAAGTCTCCTTTCAAGGATCTTTCAGCGCAACACATTTCCAGTATAGAGCTTTTCCCCTCAGAATACTCAGAGAACTGTAGAATATCAAGTATATTTGCTAAAGGACTTGTAGTGCCATTCAAAAGTGTTTCTTATTGTCTTTTTCCTGCCATACTGTGTCCTTTGTCAGATCCCCGCATTGAACATAATTCTGTATCTTTTTCTGTAGCATTCTCTCTGAGATTCTTGATGTGCACCAGAACATGGGCTACTGCCCCCAGTTTGACGCCATTGATGAGCTTCTCACCGGCAGGGAGCATCTCTACCTCTATGCTCGTCTCAGAGGGGTACCTGAGTCAGAAATCCCCCGGGTGAGTGTGACTCCAGCTGCTTTACAAATTAAACTGTCAAACATATCCTTCTCCTCTTCTCCTCCTTTAATGGCAAAGAAACTCCTTCTTTCCCGTCTCACCGTTAACTGAAGTTTGTCATGCCCCTTTTCATTTCATTTAAACATGTTCTTTCTTCCTGCCTCAGGTGGCAGAGTGGGGCATTCAGAAGCTGGGCCTGACCGAATACGCAGCCTACTGCGCAGGAACTTACAGCGGAGGCAACAAGCGCAAACTGTCCACCGCCATCGCCATGATTGGCTGCCCAGCGCTGGTGCTGCTGGTGAGTTAGCCAATGAAAAAGCAGCCCCCTCGAACCCATTGTTCTGTGCGTTTTTTTATGCAGAGATTTATCAATGAAACGGTCTATGGATCCAGATGGGATGCCATATGGGTTCAGTCAAGCCTGGGCTTGAATATTTAATGCATTGGCAAGGAGTTGTGCAGTTCTGTTCAAACTGGCATACATCTGTGATTGTTGCCATATGCCGATTGAGATAAGGACGTGGTCTTTACTCGTATGGAATTATGTGTGGTGAAAAGTGAAGTTTGCTGTTTGCCTTGTGGTTGTGTGTGTGTTTAGGATGAGCCCACGACAGGAATGGACCCTCACTCACGGCGCTTCTTGTGGAACGCCATCATGAGCGTCATTCAGGACGGCAGGGCCGTGGTCCTGACATCACACAGGTTAAACATTTAAAAACATAACGGCGCGCTAGAGCCACCAAGCTGTGCAAACACAGTTAACTGTCCTGAGAATAGCCGCTAATGCAACGATGACCAGAGCAGCTCTTGCTTGATTTTAATCAGAAACATGTTGAATGGTGCAGTATTTCTCGCAGACGTGAACTAGTAAATAAAGATGGATTGTTGTTTTTTCCACCAGCATGGAGGAGTGTGAGGCTCTGTGCACTCGACTGGCCATCATGGTCAATGGGACCTTCAAGTGTCTGGGTACAATCCAGCATCTCAAATACAAGTAAGAGTTTGTGTTTAGCCGGATTATACACGCACACACACACACACACACACATAAACTAAACTGCCATTATTCACCCTGTATTTGCACATATGAACAATCCTTGCCTTGCATGATCCACCATAATTTATAGCACCATCATTTATGTTAAGACAAGCAATTTATTGTTGAGGATATGGGTTAAAGTTGCCATTCTACCTGTGAGGGAAAAACATGACTGTATACCTGTTGCATTTCCTTGTCTCAGATTCGGCGATGGCTACGTGGTGACCATGAAAATCAAGGCAGAAAAAGCTGGTTCGTCCCCAGAGCTGGCACCTGTGGAGAGCTTTATGGAGAGCTCCTTCCCCGGCTGCGTTCAGCGGGAAAAGCACTACAACACGCTGCAGTACGAGATTGCTTCATCCTCCCTGGCCAGAATATTTCAGCTGGTGGTGGCCAATAAAGACAGGCTCAGCATCGAAGACTACACCGTTTCCCAGACAACACTGGATCAGGTGAGGATAAGATGCAACAATGACAACATATATTCTTTTAGGAAATTGAAAATCCCAGTCATGAAGATTCTAATCTAAAATAATAAATTGTAAAAAATATTTGCAAAAAGGTGAACACAGAGCTCTCGTTGAAACAGGAGAATCTGTAAATTCAATGTGAGAATGCAATTTTAATCCCCCACTGAAAAATGCTCCCACAGTAGTGTGAAAAATGATTAGAAATATGTCACACATATCATCTGCAGGTAACCCACTGAAAATTGTTGCTAAACAACATGGACTGGAGCACAACTGTCAGTACGACAGCTGGAGGATGATAAATTATTTTCTGCTGTTGAAAAGAAAAATAAGCCAAGAAAAAGGACCTGTATTAGCTGTTCATGTGAAACACACATTAACAGGAAGACAGGGCTAAAATATCAGCGGTCACAAGAATTTATTGAGCTGCAGTGAAACTAAAAGTATTTTTCAGATGAAATGAAAGATCAAACGACTTATTTTTGCTTCGCTTTTTTAGTTAAGGTCATGCTTTTGATCATATTTCTGCACAATTAAAATTTACCTTAAATATCTTTTACTAGATTCATCTTCTGCCCTGGACAGCTTTTTACACAAACACTGTTTGCATGCCATCCTTGTGTGTCCTTTTATAGGCTTTCCTTTTAAATCTAATTTATAAAATGCATGAATGAACAAAAAGGATCAATCCTGGGTTTAATTAAACCCTTTTCTTATTGCTTTGTGTTCCACGTCAAATACCTTTGTGCTTCGCTCAGGTGTTCGTCAACTTTGCCAAGCAACAGACAGCGGACGATGAGGACGTCATCCTCTGCCGAGCGGCAAGAAAGGACATCAAAATCTCGCCAGTAAAACGGAAAACATGAAGCCACCTGCAAATATTCACACACAAATGTTGAAGTGCTACCCTGTTGCACTCTCCGAACTGCAACAGCCTCCTCTGAAATGCTATAAGCAATGCTGCTTTTGAGCTAGCGAAGACAGTCACCTGTCACAGTTACTGTTAAAAAGGATCATTTTTACAGCCATAACCAAACTTGACAAGCCTCTGGGTAGAGTTTGGGATTATTTTCACATGACATAACAGAAACGCAATCATGCCTGAGTCATTCCTTTGACTTTTAATATGAAAAAAAAAAGTCTCTGACCTGCAGAGACTGATGTAAACACAAGAAAATATTTCTGCTTAGACTGACTGGGTTATATGAATATGTAAATAATGTATGAGTAAGGAATACTTAAGCACTCTAGACGCTGTAAATTATTTATTTATTTATTTGTTTGTTTTTTCATCCATGTCAACACAAACAACTCTATTTTATCTGTTGTGTTTGAATGAAACGTCATTTAATAACGGTTATCAGAGTGAATGAAAAACACTTTCACCACCGCTTCTGTTCTTTTAAGTCAATAAGTGTTGCACATTAAAATATTTCTTTCTCACCTGGGTGTCCTTGCGTGAACACAAACTGCAACAAATGCTCTACCTCAGGCTGTTCAAGGAAAAGAAACATCAGTTGGATACAGTTGTATGAGGAAAAGAGAACTCCATACCATCTAACCCTTTATTTTCAACATTTTTTTACATGTTCTGTGAAGTTTTGTCACGCTGCTTAAACAGCTGTAATTTCCCATTGTATCTACGGAGGACTGGCTTTCTCCAGCCCCTCTTAAAACTGCTCCCTGGTTTGGCAGAGAGTGATGAGAGGGTATTCTCTCTGCTGAGTGACTGCGTGTGAGTGAAGTGGCTGAGAGACTGCTTTGCATTGCGGCGGCAGCCACACAGCTCTGAGTAGGCTGTCACAACCTGGGCTTATCTGACGCACGGCCCAATTACTCTCCCTCCGCCGCAAGTGCTGCTGTCATCGCCTCAGGCCGCCCACTAGCTTGAATTTCATTGGCCCCCCTCAAATAAACAGAAGGACGCCGGCGCTGTGAAATCCAGGCTTGCTAATGAATTCTCTGGTGGGGATCTCATCCCGCGCCCTCTTCATCCGGTCATCTAGTCGAGGCCGATGAGCCACCGTGGGGGAGCAAGTCACGCAAAACGTGTTTGTGAAGTGCTGACCGCTAAACAAACCTTCCTGCAAGGTACACAGAGACTAAAATGAATCAACTTCAACATGAACATAAACCCAAAATCTGTTTGTATTCGGTCATCAAAATTAAGAGGATGATTAGATCACCAAATCAAGATTTAAATGTTATAAGATATGTTGCGGTGGCCCTTCTATCTTTTTATTTTCTTCTTCCTAGAGCATGTCTTGCTTCTTTTTTCGCGGGCGTCCTTACATGCCAACTCTAAGTGTGCCGTGTGCAATTACTTCCGTTCAAGTTGGCGTATTTTTACCACCATAATAAATGCTCATTTGAGTTTTCACTTACTGACAAGAAGTTGTGCTTATGGACCTAAAAATAGACACGTGAAAACATACCAACAGCGTTTAATCAGTCACATTCCTTATAACAACCCTGGAAAATGCAATGCAGAGCTCAGTATGAATGTGTCATGCTCAGCCTCAAACTCTCAGGTACCAACCTCTATTCTGTAAAACTAATTTCTTGAAATAGTGTAGATTTCTAGGTACGTTTTGTGTCAATCAGAACAAAAATAATGAAGACCGGCAGAAAGAATGGAATGATACTGAAACTGTCTGCAATCAGGATGAAAAAAGGACATTTGAATATTTATTTAGTCTGAATTGTGTGCTGCGGGAAATTCTGACCATTTTGGTGGCCTGTGGTGAGAAGTTTTTAAGGTGAAAATCACACTCTATTGTTGTTGACTTAAAATTCCTTTGCTCTTATCATTCCAGCGTTCTCCATTATCTCTTTCGGCGAAACACCTCAAGTCTGTCTGAATTTAATTAGATATAATTAAATGTCAGCCGCATGAAAAGGAGCTTAACATTTGGTGAACTTACAGTGATGGAGGCAAGGGGAGGTGACTGATTCATTTTTAGCGTGCAATAAAAGCACAGCATAAGATGACTCATCTTAGACACAGAAACATCCTATTTTGCATTAATCTAACCCATAAAGAAAAGTTTATTCTTTTAAACAAATCTAATTTAAATGAAATCAAAACAGATTATTGTCCCACATATAGGGCAAAACCAACAAACCTGCAGTGAAGAGCAGAAATATAACGTTAGATGAGATATTGAAAGTCGGACTCTCCTGCTGATGGTGAATGATCAATGTTTCTGCCAGCCCCCAGTGATGGATTAAGTCCATGAAGAGCGTGGAAGACACTTAACCGATTCATTTGATAACATCAGGCCTCTCAGTCCACAGGATATTTCAACCGTCCATTTTTCCTTTGTGGCGTTGCGACAACTGTGACTGTGCAAACAAAAATCCAGCCTGTTACAAAGGGAACAATGTGTTCTCACTGCGGAGAGCCAACTACGTTAACAAATCTGACAGGATTTATTACCTCATATTGCTTTTCAATTACTCATTTGTGTTTCAGATGCTGTGAGCAATTGGCCGCCGTGAGGTGATTAAGATATGTAAAAGTGACAAATATTTCCAAGCATCTGTCACCTTCATGACATGAGTGATACGCCTACGATTTTCTGTCAGTTTAATGGACGTCGCCAGGCTTCTCGGCCTGTTGTAAGGGGTTGCATAACAACAGCTCTGACCGCCTAAGTGTCCTCTCGACGCTCACTGAAGTTCGGTTATTACAGCGTATTTAGCTGATTAATACAGTGTTGGATTTATTTCATGATGTAGACTCAAAAAACTGTTTGGATAGAACTTTTCAAACTTGACTCTTTGAAATCCTCCAACTCTATAAAAGTGCAAATGCATCTTCCATTCACAATCCACACACCATATCAAGACAGGACACAGACAACTGGAAACAGAAAGATCTTTTTCCATCACGACATGGTTTTCTTATGATGTTCCGACCACCACTGTCATTTTCCATGACTGACAGGTCAGTCTGTGACCTCTGACTCTGTGTGAGCGCACCAAATCTAATAAAGAAAGATGTTCATAAGATGTGATGGTGCAGAAACTTAGATCCCAAACTTAAACCGTATACTTAGATGAAGGTTTCTGAACATTAACAAGTGAGCCGTCTGACTGGAATGGAGTTATTGTTGTGTTCATCCCTGTATTCCCCGTTGGTGGAGGCTTCTTTCGGCAGGATAATAAACCCCGCCACACTTCAAAATCAAAATGTTTTGAGGAAAAAGAATAAAGGAGAACAAAGTGCTGACTTGTTCTCCAAACTCCTCACATTTCAATCTGATCAATCATCTGTGGGGTTGTGCTGGAAAAAACAAGTCTGATCCAAGGAAGCTGCACATCCCAACTCTGAGGAATTTATCTGCAAATGTTTTGATGCCTCATACCACAGGACGCCTTCAGAGCTCGTGTAGAGTCCATGCTTTGATTAGTCATTGTTTGGCAGCATGAGGACTTCTTTTTCATGCATGGAATGGAAACTTTCTTACTTCAGGGGTTTTATTTTTGCATATAAAACTTAGCTCCACTTTTGCAGCTGAAGAGACGTTGTGCGGGTCTCTAGGAGGCAAATTATGACTCATTTTTGAGTTAAAGGATTAAATGCTAAATCCCTTTCTTATTATTTTGAGATCCACATCAGTGAATGCTTTAGGTAACACATTTAATTGAGGGCAGAGCCGTAGATTTGAGTCAGGAAATGGTTGCCAGAGCGTTCAGAGGTGAAAAGAAAAAAAAAGATGTGTTCAAATTAACACTAAAATAAAAATAAAAAAACATGTTTGAGACAGTTAACATTCACAACCACCATCTATTGTGACAGAAAGTGAAAAGAGAGAGAAAGACAGGATATCATGAAAAGGAAATCTCAATTTAAATACACATTCAGCATTCAATCACTGTCCTTTCATGCCGCCTGGCTCACAGATGATTGCAGCTTCATCCATTAGCATCCAGCAGCAAGATGATCCGATGCACTGGCAGAAAGTTGACATGAGACAGAGAGAGAAGGCCCCCTGCAAACAAGGCACAGCGCTTTACAATCCTATAAATTATTTGAAGTTTATTCTCTCAGTTCCTCAAGATTTAAACTCTTACAGTCTCTCTTTCTCACTATGAGATGGAGAAATTTCAACTTCAACTTTGCCTCACCAACAGTAAAAATGTAGAGAAATGTTTTTTATTTAGGTTTTTTTCAGCTAAATTCATCCTGCAATGTAGGACTTTTTTACTTTTTGCAAATATTAAAACAAAGAGCAAAGCAGCAGCCCCTGCACTGCTCACACACATCTTCAGCGTTATTGCTGGAGCGTAGTTAAGACTCCAGCTCATTAGCATCCACCTGATTGTCGGCTCTGACACTTTGCTCTTTTTGGGTAATTGCATTTCAGCATCAACCTGCTTTCAGGTACTTTTACTGCAACTACGTTCCTCGTTTTTATCTGCCATTTACCCACAGTAAGTTCCAGTAATTACCATTTCACTCAGCTTGTTTTGATTTGTATCTCATCTATTTTGAAAGCAGCTATTACGCATGTATTAATACATGCCATAACACCATGTGAGATGAACATTAAATAAGTTGCTCAATGAAATAAACTGGCTAAATCATCCCGTTATAGTGCAGTTTCTATGTGTTATGGAGATTAACCTAAATAGCTATCCGTTTTGCTTTTTGACTGCAGCTTTGGATTAACTCTTGGCACATTATTCAAAATATGGGAAACCCACTGTTGACCTTTTACATCTGCGCTAAGCAGCCTCTGAATATGGTTGATATTTAATATTTCCCTGACAAAACAGAAGAGAAGATAAGGTAGAGATGACGGATTTTTTGTCCAGTGGCCACAAACATCTCTTTACTGACTCAGTGTCACTGTTTAAATGTTCTAAACAGTTTTGGTATTTAAACTGTGCTTCATTTTCCAAATCTTTGACCGTGCGCAAAGGCATGTTTTGTACATAGTATTATGTCTTTCATCATCATGTGTTTGCCATCTGTGCTTCTGATTATGATATTCTGGCACTATTAGGCTACCATCTGCCGAGAAACAGAAGATGTTTATTGAATATTTGATCCAATGTAAACATAAAAGGAGAAAGCAAAGAAAGTACATAATAGCCATTTGTACTCTAATCTATTAATTCAATACCCGATAAACAGGTAAAGCAAATAAAGCAGGTGTAAAAAGTAGGTGATAAATAGCAGCAGTACATGGTGACACTGAGTCACTGGAACTATTGGTGAGGGATGGAACATGATTTATTTTGAACACATTCCCCTGATTTGATATAAACATCTTGGAAGACACCTGCTTTGTGAGACTAGGAATGATGAAACTGACAGCCAATAGGAAAAGAATAGGACGAAAATGTGAGAGT